TTCTGCTTCCTAACAGAAAGGAATTCCTAACAGGCAATTTGTGTGATGGAGCAACGACTTGTAATGGCTCTGCCTGCAGATATTTGTGCCCTCCATTGGAGTGGCCTCCCCGGGGTCATAAATAGTGGGAATACATGGTCCCTGCCTAGCTGTGGTGGGGACATCTACAATGCAGTTTTGTGTAGTGGGAGGAATATTGGACACAGGATCAGAAGACATGGGTTCCAGTCTCGGTATAGTCCTTTGACACCTGTGTGTCCATGGGCAATTCCCTAAGCAAAGCTGATTCTCAGTCTTTATATCTAAAGAGAAACAATAATCCTTGTCCTTCCTGCTCCATTGGATGGTGATGAAATTAAATAATGTGAATGAATATGTTTTGTAATCACAAGTACACTATAACATGTTTGAAATACAAAAAAGCCAGTAAACAGTTCTGTGCTACCTACATGGGTAATGACATGAAGGCTTTTGGAAGAGAGAATAAAGAGAAAAAGATTTCACAGGGGACATGGACTTCATCTTGCTTTGAAAACTGAGCAGTGTCTAGGGAAGAGGAGTGTGGAAGACAGTTGAGAGAAGCGGTGTCCCCAGAGTCAAAAGCCTGGAATGAGAATGCAGTGTGTGAGTCACAGCAACAAGAGCTCAGCCCCAGCCCTGGAAGCTCAGGAACCAGAAGGCAGCTACAGAACCGGGAATTCTGCATGACACCACTAAACTCGAAGATGTCCAATATTTATTTTAATTCCAATATCAGTATTATACTTAACTCTGTAAAATTTTTCCATCAACAATTCTATGTTGTTATCACCGCCATACCCAGAAAAAGATGAAGAAACTGGTCTTAAAGATGTTAAATCCTTGCCTCAGGTAAGTTAATACATAATAGAACTAGGAAGTGAGTTTACAACTTTTGACTCTAAAAGCCATGTTCTTTCTTCTTACTAAAAAAAGAACATTTCTCCACTTTCTACTTCCAAAAGAAATAAGTGTGAACGTTAATATAAATAAGCAGAGACCGGAGGTAGATTAACCATAATAATTTGCCCAGCCTACTATTTGACAGAAATTATCCATGTAGATTCCTTATGTATTTTTTTTCTTTCTTAGATACTATATATGATTTAATGAGGAAAGAGAATCACACTTTGGTGAGTGAGTTTATTTTTCAAGGTTTCTCCAGCTTCCATGAGCACCAGCTCACCTTCTTTGTAGTGTTCCTTGCACTATACATATTAACCCTGGCAGGCAATGCCATCATTGTGACCATCATCGGTCTTGATCGTCACCTCCACACCCCCATGTACTTCTTTCTCAGTATGCTCTCAGCATCAGAGACTCTGTACACACTTGTCATTATACCCAGGATGCTCTTTAACCTCATAGGTCTGAGTCAGCCCATCTCCTTGACAGGCTGTGCCACTCAAATGTTCTTCTTTATCACTCTGGCCATCAACAACTGCTTCTTGCTCACAGCAATGGGGTACGACCGCTATGTGGCTATTTGCAACCCCTTGAGGTACTCGGTCATCATGAGCAAGAGAGTGTGTGCACAGCTGGTGTGGGGGGCCTGCAGCATTGGGCTGATTGTAGCAGTGACACAGGTGTCAGCTGTGTTCAGGCTGCCCTTCTGTGCTACAAAGGTAGCCCACTTCTTCTGTGACATCCGACCCGTGATGAAGCTCTCCTGCATTGATACCACTGTCAATGAGATCCTTACTTTGATCATAAGTGTGCTGGTGATCCTGATTCCCATGGGCTTGGTCTTCATCTCCTACATCCTCATCATCTCTGCCATCCTCAAGATTGCCTCTGCTGAGGGCAGAAAGAAAGCCTTTGCCACCTGTGCCTCCCACCTCACTGTGGTCATTGTCCACTACGGCTGTGCCTCCATTGCCTACCTCAAGCCCAAGTCAGAGAACACCAGGGATCAAGACCAGCTGATCTCTGTAACCTACACTGTCATTACTCCCCTACTGAACCCTGTGGTGTACACCCTGAGGAACAAAGAGGTCAAAGCTGCTCTGTGCAGAGCTATCAGCTGAAAATTCTCCCGACGGAACGGACCCATTGCAAATAGGGCCTTAGAAGATTCCCTAGAAAGGAAAATGTGAAGCAGTGCCCACAGTCACTAGAATTATGGTTCTGGAGCTCATTAAACACTGGTTAGGTGAGAAAAGGAGGAAACAAAAAGACTATAAATTCAGACACGTGAGAGATGGAGAAGGTGTTTCAAAGCACAAGCAAGCTTGCATCTCACAGAGAACAGGGATAGTATGGAATGTCAAATACAGGAGAAAGAACGCGGTGGTGTTGGAATGTACATAGGCTGTCTGGGCACCCTGGGTCAGAATGAGAGAAGGATAGCAGACAGAATTAATGAGAAGAGGCTACTCTATAGCAGGGCTAAAATTTTAAATATATTCTATAACACTCTTCTTTGGACATGGAATTTCCTCTTACCCATTTAGAGCTACGTAGATTTAACACCTAACTAAAGTCATTCCTTTATGAATAATTCAAGTTCTTTTGCATCTTAGACACCATAAATGAAATGGATATCAGAGATAATAAGCATTTATAAAATTCAGCAGCCTTTGAAGTCTGGATCTTGTTCGTATAAGTTCCAGGTCGGCCATATGGGAAAATGGATATCTAAGTTCTCAGGATTATGTAAAAGAAATATTTTTGGAAAGTGCTTAAAATTCCTTGGTGATCTAGTTAAAGAAAGAGGCAGCACCAAGTAATTATGTCAGCAATTATATTGTGAATCTACATAAAGGTTGTTGGTGATATTATATGGTGTGTGTCTGGACCCAGGAAAAAAATTGTGGTTGCCTTTAAAGAATCTTGTAGAATGGATAAAAGCAAGTAGTGAATGGGAGTCAAAGAGGCACTATAGAGCAAGAATGAATGGGGTGAGAGGATTGGGAGGGTTTGGTTGTGTGTCTGGACCCAGGAAAAAAATTGTGGTTGCCTTTAAAGAATCTTGTAGAATGGATAAAAGCAAGTAGTGAACGGGAGTCAAAGAGGCACTATAGAGCAAGAATGAATGGGGTGAGAGGATTGGGAGGGTTTGGTAAGGAGAATGTGGCCATCTGGTAACACAGTGACTCAGCAAAAGAAAAAGACTCATCAAACCATCAGTCCTATTGTTTAAGATTTTCTAGGACTTGAATTAATATGTCATCTTTTACTAGTCACCTCCATTTCCAGCAACCCCCTCTCCTACAGTCTGTCATCCACTTCCATACAGCCTACAACTCAACAATATATTATGGCATATGGTTTCCCATTTCATGTCATACGCTCGTGCCTGTCTACAGCTTATTGTCACTCAATGGAAATCCTTCACTGCTACTCTGACGAGGGTGTTCTCCTACTGATTTTGAAACAATGACCTGAAGCATCTCTCCCTTTATGAACCTTCTCATGAGCTATCCAAGAAGAAAAAATCACTCCCTCCTTTTCCTCACACCCCAACCTCTAAACTCGCACATTCATACGTGGCTGTGGTGAACATTGCCCATTATGTCTTTATGGATGAAAGCATGAAATGGGCAGTGAGTGATGCTGCAACTATGTGAAGTCTTGGCTAGGTGGAGAGTTACACCCACTCTTTAATGCCTCACTTGTACCAAGTAATGTGGTTTTCATAGGCCACATTCTCCTATATGATAATTTCAAAAGTCAGGACTATGTAAAAATATTTTAATTTCTCAAATAAACATTACGGTTCTGTACAGTACAGTTCAACTGCATTTTTTTTTTTAAATTTAAGTCAAAATCCAAGAGAACCCAAAATGAAGTTACCTTGTATTGCCAATGGTCATTTTTATTTTTACTCAGTAAATAAAATTATTTTATTTTTTTTAGACTGTAACTTCTAAAATGCTTCCCTGTTCCATCAACCTTCTCAGTAATGGATAATCTATATCTGCAAACATAGTCAGCTACTTAAAATGTTAGGTAGCAGTTTTCAGAAAGTTGAAAGAACATAAACATTAAAAGAAAAGGATTCCATTTTGAGTTCTGCCTCTACTTCTTATTCACCATGAATAATTTGAATGAATTATTTAAATTTTGTGAGCCTCAGTTTCCTCATTTGTAAAACTTATATCCAAAGTTTCTTGTCAAGACAAGACAAGAAGTTTTTAAAATCCTTTCGAAATGACAAGCTGGGGACAAGTATTGTTTATTTTCACTAGAGTAAGAAAATAGCTACATTTCTCATAAACTTAATCGTTCCTTATCTGCAAAATGGGGTTATCAGTCTCTGTTCTGTTTTGTTTTCGGTTGTTGTAAGAATCAACTGCAGTAGAATAAACACAGTAGAAATTGCTGTGATAACTGCAGGAAGTGCTAAGAGATATATTATTAGCATTATCATCGTTATTATTAGCTAACATAATGCCAGTGTTTTAACCTCTCCAATTTTTCCTCATCCTTTTATATTATTTTACTAATTAATTTTTGACTATTACCTCTCTCCCATGTACTATTAAGTTCTAATTGCTATTGCAGCTTTCATTACATCTTCAGGTCATACAGGAGTATTTTTGGTCTCTTACAAAAGAACGTTTCCAAAACTCTGCATTACTATCTTTTGTTAGCAATTCCAGCAGTTAAGGCCTGTCGTCCCGCTCCACACTGAGCACCTTTCCTCCTTCTAGTTCAGAGAATTTCAAACTCTACAATAAACCGTGGCCCCAAATGCAAAAGTGCATGTTATAATATAGCCCAGTACGTATGTATACATCTATGTGTGTGTGTGTACCTATGCCCACATACACAAAATGAAAAGCAACCTTCACAAAACAGTACTTAGCCTTACTACATGCAATGTATTCTGCTGTTTTCATTTCATTACTCTATTATTCTGTTCTATTCTATTTCATTTTATTTAAATAGTGTTAATGAATAGAGATTCATCTAACATACATTTTAAGCAAATGCTCATTGGTTAAGAGTTAAAATCTGTATTCAACTGAAGTCAGTGGTGAAGCTCAATATCAGCCGCCTTTATTTCTGGGATTTTAAAATGAAATTAAAATCTCATTTAAAATTTTGAATTTAATTGTTAAACATTTGACATTTTAGTGGAGGGACATTTAATCTTCATTGTCAGCTTCTAGATTGCTCTAGCAGTCACTAAAACACATTCATGATACTGGGTAGATGCTCACTTTTCAACTGAGAAACCAATCAGTGAAGCAGCAAGATATCTTGGGGGAAATACCTTATTTTCTATAACACTTTCTTTTTTTATCTTCTTTATTATATACAAATTAAAATATTTCATCCTGGATATTGTCCTATATGATTTTGGTGGCAAAATTGAAATCTTATTATGAGTTAATCTATAAAAGATGACTTAAATGGAATTAAGAAGCTAAAAAAAAAACCACAGTGTTTAAAAGTTGTTTAATACTACCCAATAATTTTAAATTTTATAAATATTTACTGGCATTTCAAGGATATAATGTTCTTTCTAAAGCTATCTAATAACCAAAGCACTATCTTTATATTTATATGAATCATTCATTTTCCTATTTAGCTATTTAAAACTCTTAAATTTGTCCAGAAAATTAACAACTCTCACAATTTTTATAAATTATTCTTATATTTTGCTTTTAATAATAAATATAATGTACATTTAAATTGATGGGTAGAATTTTAACATTTAAAGCATTTAAAGCTAATTCAGTCCAAGTCACAGACAGAATGACTAACTACATTTGAAAACGCATATTCAAACATCTTTTAAAAAAAATCAAAATGACTTGCTTTATTCAGACTACTGATGTCATTAGACTGATTAGAGCTATGCTATCATACAATCATTGTTCACCTACGAATTCAAGGATGTCAAAAAGTGTTGTAGTAGAAGGTTAATTTTAAAGGTTGAAGCCAAAGTAGCAGATCTGGGCTAAATACCAAAAGCAAATCAAACTTTGATGTATCCCTAGTGTGACCCACTAAACTCAGGGAAAACACATGGAGATATGGATGCCATAAGAGAATGCTGCATGCATGAGTGATTGAGTCACTGAGTTGGCTGAAATGGTAGGTAAGCATCTGAGAAAGGGGCCACCTCTTTTTATTTTTCTTTATTTATTCTGAAATAATAGTATACTAATTGGTATTTTTCTGATTGCAAAAACAATACACGCACTCAGTAAAACAAAATTTAGAAAATTTACAAGGAAGAAAATGGAACTTCTAGTTTATGATATTCAATATGGCACAGTGAGTATGTATAGAATTTCTTCTCTCCACACTCCCCAATCCACACCTACTAAACCTTAGAAGTGATAGAAAAGATTAAGGTAGGATTATAGCCAGTGCATAAAAACAAAAATGGAATTCTTAGTGAATCAGGAACTATGAAGCACAAGACAAAGACAAATGCAATTAGAGTGATAAGGTATCTCACAGATACACAGGAGTTCAAAGGGCAATCCAGTCACAAAAATTTGGAGCAACACAAAATTTACTTCATACCCAGAGGTGGAAAAAAACAAGAACAATTAGAAACTCCAGGGAAATCAACAGGGGATATTAGCTCAGAAAAAGCAGCCCTCCCCATCACTACTTGTTCCCAGGCAGGCAGTAGAAGAATGGTGTTGGTAGTTTCCAGTCAAGAGAAATGCTTGGAGAGAGAGACATGGCAGGGACACAGGAGTATGGCAATAACAAAGACTGTAGGGAAAATAACAGAACACAAATACGGGAGGAAGCAACTAGATACTAGAAATGTTGAGCTAAAAAGTATTATTTTATTTTTTAATAAACATATTTATAATAAGAAAATTAAACTCAAGTCTCTCATTCAGTGTAAAGCTACACATACAGGTTAATATTGGCATAGGACATGCTCAGTTTCCCTGGGTTCGGGTTTCAGGACATGCCTCTGAGTTTCAAGCCACTCCCCCAATTCTTAAGCTCCTCTTCTTCTATACCCTTTCATAGAGAAGAGTAATTGTTGCTTACTGCACCTATTTTAGGTACCAACATGGGGAGATTGAGACTACAGGGGGAAGAC